TAGTATAAAATTATGCCACATGGCAAAAGTCAGGAAATCTGGCGACAAGATATAATAGTAACAAACAACCTTAACAACAGAGCCTGTCTCAACCAAACCATGTTTTATACAGGCAACCTGTTTGAACCAAACACCATAAAAACCTTTTATAGATGAACACCTTGACAAACAATTTCAAGAAGACATGAAGCTTCTTTGGAAACTTCATTCAAACAGACACCAACAAGTCTTTGTAGGGTTCCTTCAGTCATTGGTCAATTTACATCCATGCATCTCTAAGCAAACTATGACCGGTTTAGTTGTTTTCAACAGTCATTTGAAATTTATAAAACGTTTATAACATGCATTCATGAAATTCACAGTATTTGGGTAAAATGTTGAATGTTTTAGAGGTAGTTTACCATGGCAACCTCAATGATGCATAATCTTGAAAATATATTAAGCATGAAGCAAATTTTCTGAAAGTTTGGCCACATGGTTCAGATGATACTTAAATAAACTTGAAACTTAAAATAAAACTTAATAGGTAAAAAAAGGCTCATATCTTATTCTGAACCACGACAAACAATGAAAACATTTCATATGGCCCATTAGCCATCTAAATTCACTTGGCTGTCTTAGTAAATAGCATTCCTATCACAATACAACGCTTTCACATTGCATAAGGTTAGTGATCAAGCAGGAGCCTCTTTCTATACTGACCTTGCTTGCTATTGTCTGCTGTCACACACACACACAGCAGAGACTTCTTTCTTAGATCAGTTTATCCATTGATACAAGTATAATGACAAGTATGTCATGGCCACATAGAAGTATCTTAACGTTTACAAGATGAATGACACTTGGGGAGTAGCAAACACACCCATCAACACAGTTTTTACAAAGCATTCCACTCATGCCTAAACATACGGTGTACATTCTCAAACAAGAAAGGAAAATTACCGGATTCTGAGTTAATCGCTTGAATTGAAGGAAGGCTGTTTTGGATTGAAATACCACTGAAAGAAAAGACACGTAATTTCTATAGCCATGTGTTTGGTGATGGGGACAAAATGCACATTGCACTATGAAATCATATTTGCTTACATAAATTACAAATTGTGGTCAAAATAAGTAAAAATTCTGAGGGGCAGTGGCAAAAAAAAAAATGCACAGGAAAAAATCATGAAAACAAGCAGCCTATCGGCTGAGATAGCTCCACTATTAGCAATGCACATTTCAATTAAAGAACTGAAGACATCATTAGAAAATGAACAATATGTTTAGTATCAAAGCAATCGGACTTACAGTTTTTAACAAGAAGTCAAAAATATCACTTTTAACCAAAAATGACAAAAATATTCACCAAAATTAAAGAACCAAAGATATCATCACAAAATGAACAAA